TAACTATAGAGATAGCTCAGGATAACCTGAGCCTCTCTAACTATAAGCTTTATGAAAAAGGAAAGTTTTATCTTTTATCTGTTTTATCATCCACCCTCTAGGCTGTAGACTTTATTCAGCTGATATCTGAGCAGTTTCCTTCAGAAGGAGCCAGTGGATCCACTCACAGTGTTTCTGGCTTCTTTTTCTGTGTGTTTTGTAATTTCTATCCTGTTACTCTGCCCCAAACAGATGGTCTCTGTGGTTCTTCAAGAATGACAAGAGCAAAACATGGCAGGCCAACCTGCGCCTCATCTCTAAATTTGACACGGTCGAAGATTTTTGGGCGTAAGCAGCAATTAATGTCAGCTTTCCTCTGCAGTGATGGAGAGACTGCAGGAGTAAAACGCCCCAGCTGCATGTTGGATGTTTTCATAACTCCTCTCTCTCTCTCTCTCTGTTTTCAGCCTCTATAACCACATTCAGCTGTCAAGCAACCTCATGTCGGGCTGTGATTACTCCCTTTTTAAGGTCTGTTGGCTTCATCTTTTTCATTTATAAGAGATATAGAGGGGTATTAAGACGGGGACGACGGCCTCTTGTTGCTCGTCTTTACTTTGAGTCGAATGCTTGATCCGTTTTCACAGAGTTTCTGTTTTTAAGGATAGATGTGTCCGTCGTCCAGTCTGCCGGTTCTTCATCTGCAGCTCGTTAAATTTATCAGAGCAAAGACTATAAAGGCACTTTTTTAACCATTATTGCTGCAGCAAAAAACAAAAAGGTTTTGTAAATGAACATTAGAAACATGCAATCTAGAAATAAAACTTTGTAAAAGACTTAAGCACTAAAGCTTGACAGGTCAACTCCCACACAATTCAATCTATTTATAGATACTGCTGAAACACAGTTCATGAGTTTTAACAGATATTTAGGTGAGAAGGTGCACGGCTGCCGTTTGTATTGGCGGAAGGTGAATAATACCAGAATAGGACCTTTTATTTTTTTTCCTTTGTTTTTAACATTTTAAGTTACTATTCATATTTATAAACTATTCACAGTTCAGTAGAAAAATCACTTCTCTCACTTCTCCTTCTGCATAAAAAAAATAAAACAATCGTTCTGGCTTTTTAAAACCTGTTGCGTTTAACCCCATTATATTCATCATTATATGCTGACAGCTCTGCAGAAGGGATCACAGCTGCATGTAGAGTCTGTCTGCTGGTTTAGCTTTTCTGATTGGTCAAGATGCTCAGACATCCCTACACTCGGGCGTCCCGGTGCACGGACGTCCCAACGCATGGACATCGGCCATCCCCAAGCTCGGACGCCCTGCCGCTTGGACATTCCGACACTTGGACATCCCAGGGCTCAGACATCAGACATCCCGATGCTCGGCCATCCTGCAGTCGACCATCCCAACGCTCGGACATCGGAAATCCCGATGCTCGGCCATCCTGACGCTCAGCCATCCCGGCGCTCGGGCATCCCAACACTTGGACATCAGACATCCCGATGCTCGGCCATCCCAACGCTTGAACATTCCAACACTCGCCGTGCCAAACCTTGGTCATCCTGACACTCGGCTTTTCTGACTCTCGGACATCCTGACATCCGGCCATCCCGACGCTCTGATGCCCAGCTGGACATCCCGGCGCTCGGATGTCCCACTGCTCAGAATTCCGATGCTCAGACATCGGACAGCCAG